ATTGGGTAGTTTAGTTCTACCCCGTGTAGTTTCTTGCTGAGGTAGGCAATTGTTTGCAGTCCATTCCCTTGGTCTTGCATCAAGACTGCTGCTACTGCCTGGTCGCTGGCGTCAGCTTCGATGACGTAGTCGCGTTCGGGGTCTGGCGAGATGAGTACGGGCGCGGACGTGAGTGCCCTTTTCAGCTGCTCCACGGCTTCTTGGTGCTTCGATTCCCACTTATAGGGCGTGTTCTTCTTCAGTAGATTCGTGAGTGGTGTTGCGATCTTCGCGTACTGTGGCACGAACCTGTTGTAATAGTTAGCGAAGCCTAGGAACTGCTGCAACTCCTTCACATTCTTGGGTGTTTTCCACGTGCGTACGGCTTCGATCTTCTTGGGGTCGACATGAACTCCTTGAGGGCTCACCATGTGTCCTAGGAATTGGACTTTCTCAAGGGCGAATTCGCTCTTGGATAATTTGACGTAGAACCGCTCTCGTCGAAGAATTTTGAAGACGCGTCACAGGTGTTCGACGTGCTGCTTCATGTCGCGCAAGTAGATGAGGATGTCGTCCAGGTACACCATTACGCATTCGTCCAAGAGTGGGCATAGAATATGGTTCATTTCGGCTTGGAATGTTGTGGGTGCGTTGGTGAGTCCGAACGGCATTACTTGAAACTCGTACGACCCGTACCGAGTTCGGAAGGCAGTTTTGTGGATGGAATTATCCGCCATTCGTATCTGCCAGTATCCGGACCGCAGATCCAGTTTGGAAAATACCGTGGCTCCTCGAAGCTGGTCAAGCAGGTCATCGTCCGTCCGGTTTCGGTGGGAAGAGCACTAGGGCAACGTATGGCAAAGTGGATGGTCGGATGAGTCCTTTCGCAAGGAGTTACTCGATCTATTTTTTTGTCGGCTAGCTCGGTGGGACTTAGCCGATATGGTGCTCGGAAGGTCGGCTTCGAACCTGGTTCTTCCACGATCTCGTGTTGATGCGTTCGGTATGGCGGTAGCTCGTTCGGAAGGTCGTCAGGGAGAATGTCTTCGAACTTCTTGTGTAATTCCTTGATTTTTCCTGGAGGTTCCGAGGCTTTCGCTCCGTTTTCTTCCGCGTCTGTTGCTATCGCCAAGAACCCGGTGTCGGTTTGCTTTACGTCCTTCTCGAATCGTGCGAGTGTCTCCACTGGGATATCTCCTGTATCGTCCCAATTGGGTAGCTAGACTCTCCTTCCATTATTGTAGATGCTTGCGATGCGATTTACCCAGTTGATCTTGGGGTTGAATCTCTTTAGGAAGTCTCGCCCGAAGATCAGGGCAAGCCCTTTTATATTTGTGATGGGGAGTGCAGGTCTCCAGCGCAGTGTCCCGATTTGTAGGTGTAGCACTGCTTCGCCGTGTACCGGTAACTTGATGCCGTCCACAATTGTTGTAGAGAATACTGAAGGCTTGTACTCTTCCCGAAGTCGGTCGATTACTGCCTTATCGCAGACGGTGTGCGATGCTCCGCTGTCTACGAGTGCTTGGAGGCGTCGTCCTTTGCAGATAACCTCGAGCCGAGGGGCGGGCGTTGCTCGGAGTACCCAAAGATAGTTTCATTGATAGGGTCATAGGGTACATCCCAATATTCCGTACACACCGTTTCGTTACTATCTACTCCTGAGCTGGCAGCTGGCCGAGGCTGCTTGGAGAAAGGCTCTTCTCCAGAGCCCGGAGTCTCTTTGACGACTGTGTGCGTCGTTGATACCGAAATTGCAGAGCGTGATGCTTCCGGAGGAGGAGTTCGGGGTTTTTGTAGCTTCTTGTAGACCTCCAGCTTCCTCTTGAGCTGCTTCAGCTCCACCGACGTCTTCCTTGGGGAACGGGTAGTCGTTGTGGGCTAGTGTCGGGAAAGGACGTTGATTCCATGGAAAGGTCGGCTTCTTTCCACACTCCTTAATCTTTCCCCCAAGTTTTCCGGTACCGGTATGATCTCCACAGCTTTCTGCTTCTTTTGGAGTCCCTCACGAAATTTCTCCAAGGCTCTAGCGAAGAGCGGTGGAGGGTCGTGGAGGCTGCCGGCGGTAGCGCCGGCTCAGACAGGGAGCCAAGGCCGGCGGGTCAGCTCGGCTCAGCGGTAGGAAGGGCCGGGGTGGGCAGGGACTGGCAGAGCTGCGGCTGGCGGAGTGGTGGCTGACGGTGCTAGAGTCGACAGGAGCGATGGGGCAATGGGGCAGGAAGGCGCGGGGCCAGCAGGCGCAGGGCTGGCAGGCGCTAGGCCAGTAGGGGCGGGGTTGGCAGGTGCGGGGCCAGGAGGTGCAGGGGACGGTGGTCGTAGGGCTGACGAGCGCAGGGGCCCGCGAGCGCAGGGTGCCAGAGAGCACGGGGCCGGCGGCGGGCGGCTGGCGAATGCGGGGCCAGTGGGTGATCGGCTGGCAAAAACGGGGCCAGTGGGCATGGGGCGAGCGGGTGCGGGGCGAACAGGCGCGGGGCTGATGAGCGCGGAGCCGATGGGCACAGGGCTGGTGGGCGCGGGGCTGGCGAACGCGAGGCCGATGGGCACGGGGCTGGCGAACGCAGAGCCAGCGGGCGCGGGGCTGGTGAAAGTGGGGCCAGCGGGCGCGGGCGAGCGGGTGCGGCACGGGGTTGGCGAGCACGGGGCCAGCAGGTGCGGGGCTGGCGATCGCAGGGCCAGCGGGCGCTAGGCGACGGACGTCTACGGGCAGCTAGGTACGGGCGGCTAGCGGCGAGCGGCTAGCTACGGGCAACTAGGTCTAGGGCTAGGGCGGAGCACGGGTGGGCGGGGAGGACCTAGCCTAGTCTGATACCATATCAAAGTAGCAACATTAACTAGAATGTGAGATACACGGTGGTTTGTGCTAAGGGGTTGTACTCTCTAAGAGTACGCACCTATCTAGCTTATAGTAACATACAAATATATGTTTGACAGCAGGTGCAGAGGACGAAATCCTCGGTGGATGCACAGCAGGCACCCCTTGCTGCTGTCGAGGCATCCCAATCGAAGCATATGCAGTTGGAGAATTTCCAGCTGCAGAATCACCTGCTTCTCCTGTAAAAACATGAAAAATTGTATAAGTACACTTCACAATTTAAAGATTGTGATTCGACTAGTAGAGGAGAGTGCTGTAAAGGATTCAAGCTCCTTTACATAGTGGCAGGCCACTCGGACCTGCCACCAAGTCACATTCTCTTTCCAGTCTCTGCTTTCTTCCCCCCAACACACTCCCCTAAACCCATGTGCCTAGTACTAGGCCCAAAAGTTCCTTGCTCAAGGACATTCTCCAATTTATGATCTCCTTTATGGTTGGCGGAATGGTTTGCGCTGTTGGTGGAAGGCCCCCTCCTTTTCGGATGCCCACAAGGAGCAGCGTTGTGGTTCTCCAGTCCGGAACGATGACCAAGCCTCTTCCTCTCATTGAGAGCGTTCCCGTTCCCCTCGGCAGGAGGCTCGTAACAATCCCCCAGTTAGTGTGTCGGATTTGTTGAATGCCTCGCGACGTGTTCAAAACGTCGGAGTCAACATGAACACTTCCGACGTGGCGGATGGTAACGAGCGTCGCGACGCCGTACCTCCCGAGACGAATCAGGGCGACGGGCGTAGCGTGGGAGTTCACGATCGTCACGCGGCAGGCGAACACGTCTCGCCTCGACCTAGAGCTCGACTCGCTGATGTAGACGCGCGTGCCCCTGGAAGCCAGGCGCATTACCAGAATCCTGCTGGTTACTCGCGCGCGTCAGGAGATTCGCCAGCTCGTGGGGGTCGAAATCTTGACCCCCCACATTCGGGGAATCGTGCTGCTGCGCCGTCAGGGCCTCAGATTGGTTTTAGGGAGGCTGATTGCTCAGGGTCACCCGTGTGAGAACCTTGTTTTTCAGGTTCAGGTTTTGGGCGTGGCATATTTTTTCGGGCCAAAAAAAAAAAGAGAAAAAAAAAAGAAAAAAAGAAAAAGAAAAAGACTTATCAGGCCTACATTTTTGTAGTATCTGGTTCTTGTTTCGGATCGGACTTTACTGCGTACAATGTACCTGTGTGATTTTGGCGAAGGACTGAGAGCAGCTTCTTACGGTCCTCGCGTCAAACTAATTTTGTGTCAAACTTCAGTTTGCCCGAACCGCTGCTCAGACTTTCAACCCTCGTGTCAGATATGGGCGCACGTGCTCAGCATCGCGATTGTCGCAAGCAATGGAGTTCGCAAATGCAGTTTCGCCCAAACCAGCACCTCGTAATTTGTCGAGATACAGGCACAGGTGTCACCTCGTAATTTGCCCGAAATGTTGGTTGTGCAGTCACAGGGACGGCGGACTCTCGCCGTGGGTTTCCAGTTTAGCGAAATTCACGTTGCAATTCGCCGCTTTCTGCAGGTTGGTCTGTGCTTTTGGCTAAGGCCCAAACATACCCCTCACACCTGCTCCAGCTCACGTCAAACTACCTACGCCATTTTGGCCAAGGACCTGTCACTCCCCTCATACGTGCTCCAGCTCGCCTCGGACTATATTGCGTGATTCTGGCCAAGGACCAGTCACGCCCCTATTAGATGCTCCAGGTCGCCTTGCGTGTTTCTAGTGGACCAGTCACGCCCCTTACACCTTCTCCAGCTCACCCTGGCAGAAAGGATTCTGTTTCAGGGCGGATTTTGACGAAGGCTGATTTGTCAGACTCGCTAAAACGAGAACTTACTATTTTTCAGGGCTTAAAAAATGGGAACACATAAATTTCAAGCTTGATAAAATCAAAACCTGAAAAATCAGGGTATGCCCTTAAAAACACCCTAATATTCAGGCTTTTAGGCCTTTTTGGCCTGACTTCTGAGGGCCTGGGCCCGAGCCTCTAAATAGCCCCCCCACAGAGACCAGCCGCCATGAGACATTAAAGATGTAACATAAAATTTCCTGAGATGTTGTACCCTTCACGTATACCGTGTTAACGAAACAATTTCTTAAAGCGTACAACAATACCACCACCACCACCACCTGTCCCATCAACTCCACCACCCAAGCCTCGTCTTTTTTTTCTCCCCACCGCGCGTCCTCATCCCTCCTCCACGAGTCCAGACTCCAAATCTCTGAAACACCTTGTCTCGGCTAATTTCCCGACACGTGGATTCACGAGCGTGCGGGTTATTACCTCTCGCATCAACCTTACTGCAGAGTACACCGCTTATAACCTCTCACAGCCGTGCTATCCTGTTCTGGTCATCCCGTAACTTCCGTTGCTGCCCATCGGATCTCCTTTCCTGTCCTACCTTCTCTCCTCCGCTCCTACGCCATGGCGCATGCCCTAGCCAATGCCGTCGCGAAGCCTCTGTTACCTCTCGCGAAAGATCTTCCACATTCTCATCGCGAAGCCACTAGTCGCCTCACCTCGAACTCACTCCTTCGAACCGCGAGCACGCCGAATCCCCCGAAATGCGGAACCGTATCTTCCGCCATTCACTCCCGTACACGGTCCCGGCTATCCCGCCGCAATCGGCGGTCGTATGACGTGGCAGCTAGGGTTTCCGACGAGGCGCGGAATCCCGCTAGCGGCTCCGCGAGTCCCGCGAATCCGGCGGCGACCGTGAATCCCGTCGCGAATGGCGGCGACGCGAGCGTGGAGGTCTTGGGAAGCAACTCGCGGCGCGTGAGCGCGCGCGTCGTGGTTCCAGCTGGCGCTGACGTGGTGTGGGGCGTGCTGACGGACTATGAGCGGCTCGCGGATTTTATTCCGTCCCTGGCGACCAACGAGATGCTGCAGCGACGAAGCAACGGCGCCAGGCTGCTGCAGGTGAGAGAAATGGGAATGGTGTTGTGTGAGGTTGTTGTGGGAGAAGTGGTAATGGGGATGGCATTCTGCATGTGGCTTGTTGGGTTTGCTGTGGAAGTGGGGATGGTGTGCGGTGCCATTGATGGTACGGTTACTGCGGCTGTGGCTGTTACCGGTTATGAGCGCGATGCTGCAGGGAAGGAGCAACGGAGCTAGGCTGCTGCAGGCGAAGGGAAGACGATTAAAGGTGAGCAACACGACACCCCCCTCCCCCCACCCCGCGGCGCCCCCCTCCCCGGTGGGCGAGCAGGATGTGGCGATGGGCATCAAGTTAGGAGGCAAGGTGGTGGCGGATGGCATGATTCCCCCCTTCACATCATGTGTGCGTCCATCCCTTATCCCCCCCTTCACCCATCTCCGGTTCACCCACCTCCCCTCTGCCCCGCTGGTGCTACAGGTGGTCGAGCAGGACGTGGCGATGGGCATCAAGTTCCGGGCCAAGGTGGTGGTGGATGTGGGGCGATGACATGTGCCCCCCTTATATGTGCCCCTGATATGTGCCCCTGATATGTGCCCCTGATATGTGCCCCTGATATGTGCCCCTGATATGTGCCCCTGATATGTGCCCCTGATATGTGCCCGCCCCATTATGTGTTTCCCCAACACCAGGTGGGCGAGCAGGACGTGGCGATGGGCATCAAGTTCCGGGCCAAGGTGGTGGTGGATGTGGAGGAGGGGGAGGAGGAGCACGTGGCACACGCTTCAATTGGCAACAGCAACCGCAGCAGCAGCAGCAGCAGCAGCAGCAGCAGCAGCAGCAGCAGCAGCAGCAGCAGCAGCAGCAGCAGCAGCAGCAGCAGCGGCAGCAGCAGCAGCAGTGAGGAGAGCGATTCTGCAGGCGGAGCAGGCCCTGATGCTCCGGTTGCAGCAGCAGCAGTGGGTGGGGTGAGGAGGCGGCGCATTCACTTCAAGATGGTGGAAGGCGACTTCCAGAGTTTTGTGGGAGTCTGGACTCTGGAGGATAAGGTAAGCTGTGGGGGGCGGGGGAAAGGGGGGCTGTTTTGCAGAGGGTAGGTTCAGGAGAGGGGGATAAGAGGGGAATGGAGGTGCTTGCAGCAGCAGCAGCAGTGGGTGGGGTGAGGAGGCGGCGCATTCACTTCAAGATGGTGGAAGGCGACTTCCAGAGTTTTGTGGGCGTCTGGACCCTGGAGGAACAGGTGAGCTGGCAAGTGAGGGGGGTGTGGGGGGGGGGGAGGTGGGCTGTTTTGCAGAAGGCAGGTTAAGGTAGGGGGGTGGGAGAGTGGGATAATATGGGGATGGAGGTGGTTGCATTAGCAGCGGCAAGTCAGCAGTCCGGAGCAAACTCTGATGCCCCGGTTGCAGAAGCAGTGGGTGGGGTGCGGCGGGGGATAAGAGGCTGTCCCCCTCCTACTTGGTTGAGCGTCCCCCTCCTCGTCTCTCCTTTCCGCACTTGCCCTCCCCCTCCCCCTCCCCCTCCCCCTCCCCCTCCCACCCCCACCCTCTCTCCAAATCTTCCAGTTCCCTTGCTCACTTGCCGGCCCCACTACCCTTTCCTACTCGGTTGAGCTGACTCCACATTTTTGGCTGCCAGTGGCGTTAGTGGAGGGGCGTATTTCGAGGGAGATTAGAGCCAACTTAGCAGGGGTTAGAGAGGAGGCTTTTAGGAGGCTCCAGCTGGCATTGGCTCAAGTTTGAATATTACGATGATAGAACTTGGGATGGGAAAATAAGGTGCGAGAAAAGGGCATAGGAGGCTCTAAGAAAGGGGGTTATATAGATGGCTGTGAGGAGGAGTAAGATTTAAAGGGTTCTATGATATTGTTTATTGATAGAAAATTTTGACTTCCATGCCTATCTATTTTCCAGTTGTCACTACCTACATGGAAATAATTTCTCACTTGGTCTGTATTATATGGGTATGTTAGCTTGAGTCATGCAGGGAAACGAGTCTAATTATTTTGCTGAAACAGTCTGAAGGGCGAACCATCTTTACGGTGGCGAAGTCTTCGCGTTCACACCTGTTTCGCGAAACTCGTTTGAAGGTCCCGCCGGGGTCGCCTTTGCCTGAGCGGTTCGTTTGAGCCTCCTCTCATCTCTTGCGCGTCGTGCGACAAGTTCGATTGAATCACACTCTCACGAAAGCATTAACGAAAGAGCGCAACAGCGAGAGGCGTTCAGCCAATCAGCAAACAGAACCTCACATTTCGCCCCTCACCCTCCCAACAAGCAACAATTTCCCGTCGAGCCGCGCATGTCGTGATAGGGGCTGACGCAATGCTTCTTTGCTCCTGCCAGCTCGTGGTCGCCTTGCCTGATATCGCCTGGGATCGCCTGCACTGCACCCGGCCAGGGGCGCCCTGGGTGCTGCTAGTAGGGGGCTGGGCGCTGGCTGGACCAAAAACAAGGTTGGTTGGAGGAAGGGCTGTCGCGCTGCCACATGGCGGACGCAAGTATTTAGTTGAGCTCTTGGCCGTCGATCCGATAAGTAGTTCGCACAAAGGGTCAACGTAGCCGCACAGCTCACCCTTGATTGCGCTCCCTTTGTCTCTCGGAGCGACTATGGGTTCTTAGTTGCGGTATTCGGCACTAGCAGTCGATCGCCAAAAGTCAACTTTCCAACCCTAGCCTCGCATTAGTTTCAGCCGTGCTAGCGTTTCACACAAGAGACAAGAGACTCCGCCCCACGACTCAAACCTGAAGCCAGCAACTTGCGCACACAACTTCCCGTGAGAATTAGCGCTGCGCGCCAATGAGATCACCACGCCTCCCCGTGGTGCTACTGGTCCTGGTGGCATACCACCTCACGCACGGAGCCGCCGCGGCGCCAAATGTACCGGCCGACGCCAATCCTGCCGGCGGCGCCTCGAGCCCAGCCGTCAACGTGTCGGCGCCGTTCGAGGGCTGGGGCGGCATGTCGCTGATGGAGCTCGAGGCCGCTGCGATCGCCGCCGCGAGAGGCGGCGCGAGATCCGCTGCGGAGGCCGAGTCCACATCAACGAGGAACGCCTCGGAAGCCGGCGCGGAGCCCGGTTCTGAGGGAGGAGCCGATGGGGGCGGCTTGCGGCGGAGTCTTGGGTGGGTGCAAATGCACAATGTCGAGCCCCCTTCTCATCTGCCGGGTCCGGCAATCTAGTCGGCCTTCTTCGCCCCAATCTCGTTCCCCTGTCTGTTTTTTTTCTTTCTTTCTTTCTTCTTTCTTTCCCTATCTCCTTGACTGTACTGTCTGCGCTCTTGCACGTTCCACCCCCTATCCCTATTTCTCCCTCTTTTCGCCCTTCCTTCATTCCCCCCCGTTTCTCCGGCCCTCCCCCTTCCCCTTCCCCTTCCCCCCTTCCTGCTAACCCTTCAGTGGCGACTCCGCCCTAAATCCGCTTGCGTCAGCCTGGCACAACCTTCTAATTGCGCAATACCTAAGTCGGACCACGTCGTGCAGCGATACGCTCACGCAGGCGTGCCGCGCGCTGCAGATGGCGGACAGCCTCGTCAAGTCGGGGAAGCTCGGGGAAGCCGTGGCGCAGACCAAGCAGGCGGCGACTCTCGCACGTGTAAGTGAAGCTTAAGCACTTGGGGGTTGGGAGATGGGGAGGCGCTGTAGATGGCGGACAGCCTCGTCAAGTCGGGGAAGCTCGGGGAGGCTGTCGCGCAAACGAAACAGGCGGCGACTCTCGCACGCATAAGCGCTGGTAGCGGTACGAAGCGAATTATCGTGACACTCTCGGGTCGTGGTGGTTTTCGTGACTGATGGACGTATGTGGTTGTGTAGTGGCGTTTCTAACAGTCGGCATCGGTGCTTGCAGGGATGCGAGGGGCGAGTTCCGGCGAACGCGGCGCAGCAGATTCGCCTCGCCATTCCACAATTAATCGCTGGGCAGAATGCTCTTTTCGCACGCGGACCGAAACCCGTTACCGCCTCGAGCACGGGCAGGCGAAAAAAGGGGGGACACAAGTGGAAGGATACTCCCGTAACGGCGGGTAGAAAGAAGGGCGGGCACAAATGGAAGGCCGCGCCGACGAGAAATCGCGTGAAAGGGGGGCACAAGTACAAGCGGGGAGGCCGCCCGCGACGAGGTTCGCGACGTGGTTCGCGAAAGAGTGGGAAGTCGTCGTCGAAGCCGCCAGCGAAGTCGCCGGCGAAGAACTCCGGCGATATCGGCTGGTTGGGGCACAACGACGTGGCGCAAAACATCATGCAGTGGCTACCGTATGGTAACCCGATCGACGATTGCTGGATGGGGCCCAACTGGCAGGCGACTCCGACGAAATTGGCGAGCTGCGTTGAGGGTTACGCGACGGGGACGACTGGCGGCGCGAAGGGGCGAATTTACCACGTCACCTCGAATCAGGACGACAGGATCAACCCCAAGCCGGGCACGCTAAGATACGGCGCGACCCGGGTAAGGCTGCAAATGGAGTACGCTTTGATTCTTGACGCATTTGTACTGGTACCGAACGCCCCTAGAGCGAGGCTTTCGATTCTTGCCGCATTTCTGCTATATTTCACGTTTTTTTTTTTTTTTTTTTTTTTTTTTTTTTTGTCTTTTCTTGTTGTGTGTTACTGCGCCTTTGCCCCCCAGGCCGAGCCGCTGTGGATTGTGTTTGACGACGATTTTGACTTCAGCGGATTGGATGCGGAAATTATTATTTACAGCGACAAGACGATCGACGCGCGCGGGAAGAAGGTCACGATGGGCGAGGGGCCGTGCATGGCGATCGAATTCGCGCACAACGTGATCGTGCACGGCATGGCGTTCAAGAACTGCAAGAATAGACTGTAAGTACTAGTGAGGCGCCTTATAACGAGCATACGCATAACGAATTTGTGCATAGCGACGCCTTATAGGTGTGGGTGTACTTATCAGACTGTAAATCTATGCGTGTGGAACACTGTCTTCACCCCCTCCCCCACCCTCTCTTCGTTGTTCGAGTTCCACTCCCTTCCTCCCCTCTCCCACCTCTCCCCCCTCTCCCCCCTCTCCCGCCTCTCCCCCTTTCCCCCCTCTCCATCTCCTCTCCCTTTTCTCCCTCCCCTTTCTTTATCCCTACCAGCGGCGTCATTCGGCTGGCCACAGGCCCGGACAATACCGTTGGGGGCCGGGACTATCTTAACGGGTATGGGGTGTACATCTACGCGTCGCACCACGTCTGGGTGGACCACTGCTCGTTTGACTATGCTGACGACACCCACATCGATATTGTTGCCGCCAGCACCGCAATCACTGTCTCCAATTGCTACTTCACGAATCAGGATAAGGTGAGGGGCGTGTACATCTTTGCAGACGACTCCCACATTGATGTTGTCGCCACCAGCACTGCTAGTACTGTCTCCTGCTCCTGCTTCATGAATCGGTGTAAGGTCGTGCAGGGGTGTTGGGCTTCTGCCATCCGATGCCTTGATAAAGCACAGCCCCTACACAGTTCCACTCTCCCCTCCCCCTCCCCCTCCCCCTCCCCCTCCCCTCCCTCTAGTCACCCCCTCACCCTCCTCCTTCTTCACCCGCCTTCCCAGGTCATCTTGATGGGGCATGATGACACGTACAGTGCTGACCGTAACATGCGTGTCACTGTCATGCTCAACAAGTTCGGCCCGAACCTGTCAGAGCGCCTGCCTCGGGGCAGGTTCGGGCAGTTTCACGTGCTGAACAACTACTACCCGAACGGGTGGAACATCTACGCCATTGGGGGCAGTGCGGACCCTACTTTCCTAAGCGAGGGGAATTACTTTGTGGCCAATAACAGGCCATTCAACAAGGAGGTATGCTGCTCTCTCTCCACGTGAACCTTTAGGAAAGGTGACTTCTGAGTTGACACGAGTCACGTTGTGGCCTATGGGTCACGTTGTGGCCTATGGCAGGTCATTCACCAAGATATGCTGCTCTGGACAGCATTTTTCAAGCTGGATGCTCTGAAATCCTAGATCCCTCTCCTTGCCTGATGTGCGGACCTGATGTGTGTATAACTGTGCTGCCTCTCCTGTGCTGCCTCTCCTGTGCTGCCTCTCCTGTGCTGCCTCTCCTGTGCTGCCTCTCCTGTGCTGCCTCTCCTGTGCTGCCTCTCCTGTGCTGCCTCTCCTGTGCTGCCTCTCCTGTGCTGCCTCTCCTGTGCTGCCTCTCCTGTGCTGCCTCTCCTGTGCTGCCTCTCCTGTGCTGCCTCTCCTGTGCTGCCTCTCCTGTGCTGCCTCTCCTGTGCTGCCTCTCCTGTGCTGCCTCTCCTGTGCTGCCTCTCCTGTGCTGCCTCTCCTGTGCTGCCTCTCCTGTGCTGCCTCTCCTGTGCTGCCTCTCCTGTGCTGCCTCTCCTGTGCTGCCTCTCCTGTGCTGCCTCTCCTGTGCTGCCTCTCCTGTGCTGCCTCTCCTGTGCTGCCTCTCCTGTGCTGCCTCTCCTGTGCTGCCTCTCCTGTGCTGCCTCTCCTGTGCTGCCTCTCCTGTGCTGCCTCTCCTGTGCTGCCTCTCCTGTGCTGCCTCTCCTGTGCTGCTTCTCCTGTCCCATGCCCCCCAGGTGACCAAGCACAACATAGCAGCAGGGCAGGCGACCTACCTGCACTGGGACTGGCAGTCAGTGGGGGACCACTTTGAGAATGGGGCTTTCTTCACTGAGAGTGGGTCCCCAGGCTATCGACCTTCGTATTCATACAAGGCGCTCAGTGCTCTAGAGGTGCCCCGTGCAACCAATCGTGCTGGGCCTATTGGGCAATAGGGCCTTCGGTTTTGGTGTTGCTAACTCAAACTAGTAGGTGGAGAGAGAGAGTTGCTAGGAGACGTGCGCCACAACTTCTGCAGATTAGTGTGGAAATTAGATAGAATCCTGACTCTTGCTATGCTTGAGAGTAGGTGTAGGGACGTTGGTGAGAGTCTGATTATGGTGAGGACATTATGTTAGCAGTGTGCTAGGGCTTCTATTGATGCCTAATAATGAAGGTGACAATTTGCTAAGGTAAGGTTGCTAGCTAGTACAATTTGTTGTTTGTTACAGCTTCACAATCCCAAGTGCATTCTCTAAATTCCAATATTGGGATTGTGAAGTGATGAAGTGATGTGATTTAAGGAACAAATAAAACCTAAGCTTCTATAGTTCAAATGCGAACTATAGAAGCCTAGGCTATGAATACATTTTAACGAAATGCAGAACACACGCATCTGTGATTTCGTTTCAGTCACGCTCAGCCATCTCCGTCGGATTCGGACGATCTCGGCAATCCCAAGGTCATTTTCACCTCCTGCGAGCTTCCGTTCCGCCCTCCGTCAAATTCTGCTCCTGACACAGCCGTCTGTTTCGCGAATCAGGCAGCCATCAAACATCTACTCCGTCGTTCCCTGAAACGCAAGTCCCCAGGATTGATACACTCTAGGAAATACCTGGGTTCGGTCTGTTGTGTCTAGGCTAGGTGTTTCTGTGAGGTGCTGTGTTTCTGGGGCAAGACTAATAGGCTGTGATTCGGCTAAGGAGGCTTGGTTGTAGAAGGCGTCAGAGACCGTGAGGCGATATCTGTTAAGCCTGTTCTTTGGCTTGGTAGTCTTCGTTCTCGTTTCTCCGTCGTCAGCAATTCAGGCCAACGGCAAGCCTGACACTCAGCCTTCACTAGACACCGGGAGAACCTAGGCTCTCCCCGAAATAGGCAGAATTCTATTTTCTTACCTGAACGGAGTCTACTGAGTCTAATAACGGAGTTTATTGACGGAGTTTACTGACGAAATTTATTTGACGGAGTCTGTTAATAAGGTTTTTTCTCGTCATGGGAGCGACTAGGAAGCTCCAAGGAGAGATCGACCGTGTGCTTAAGAAGGTCCAAGAAGGGGTAGAGATCTTCGACGGCATATGGAACAAGGTACGCACGACGAGCATGTGACGAGCATGCGAAGCGGCTTGGTGAGCAAGTGAGACCCTCAAATTTCTGGTATCATTCTCATCGCTGTCGTCTTCGCACTTGGCGCGTCGTCATCTTGCATGATCAATGGCTTTACAGCAGCCACTTAGCTGGCGGTCCCAGAGCCACCTGTCACTCTTAGGGTTTCGTTGCTGTCGACCTAGACACTATCGCAGGTTATGCGTAAGTCGAATAATATCGACTCCGTTAGTCGAATAATAGATATGACGTCGATCATTCTGACACGCAGAACGGAACTGGAAGGAGAAGTTTGAGGCGGACTGAAGACGACTCAAAGCACACCTTCCCTGTCCGCCTGGTCTGTCGCTCTTGTCCACCCGTCTTGTCTGTCGCTCTCTTGTTCGCCCTGGCCTCAGGTGTACGGTACGGAGAGCCTGAGCCAGAAGAAACCTAGAGGCTGGTTTCGAGACATCTCACAATGCATGATCGCTCGTCTTGCTTGTTTCGCTCGCCCGGCAGGTGTACGACACGGAGAACCTGAGCCAGAAGGAGAAGTTCCAGGCCGACCTGAGGAAGGTCGATGCTCGTCTCAAGACGACTCGAACCACACCTTCCCTTGTCCCTCCTGCGACCTGTATGTCCCTCTTGCCCGTACCTCTTGTCTGTCTCTCTCTTGTTTGCCCCGGCCTCAGGTGTACGACACGGAGAACCTGAACCAGAAGGAGAAGTTCGAGGCGGACCTGAAGAAGGAGATCAAGAAGCTGCAGCGGTACCGCGACCAGATCAAGACATGGATCCAGTCCAGCGAAATCAAAGACAAAAAGGTGAGCCTCAGCGCTCGTCTGCTTCGTTCTGCTTCCCCTTCTAATGCACCCAAGCTTTCCCACTCGCCAATCCTGCATCCTGCCTCGAGCCCACCCCATAGATTCATTCATTCGCATCCATTTCAGTCATGCTCACTCACGGCCTGCGCAGTTCGTCATGGAATGTCCTGCTAACAGGAACTCATTTGCTGTTTCTTACGAAATGCTCTTATATACGACGTCCCGTTGTGTTCTTTTCTCTTCCTGGCAGGCTCTGCTGGATGCAAGGAAGCTGATAGAGCGGGATATGGAGAGGTTCGAAGTGTGCGAAGACACGCATGCCTAATGTACCCTGACCCCTTCCCCTCTCCTCCCCCCCTTCCCCCTCCCCCCCGTCTCCCTCCTTCTCCCCTCCCCCCTTCCGCTCCCTCCCACCTCTCCGCCAACCTCATCCTACCAGGCATTGCTGGACGCGAGGAAGCTAATAGAGCGGGAGATGGAGCGGTTCAAAGTGTGCGAGAAAGAGACCAAAACGAAAGCTTTTAGTAAAGAGGGGCTTGGTCAACAACCAAAGACGGTAAGCTGAAACACAACTCGCTGTTTGCAGTTCTCAAGCCCTGTTCTTTAGTCGACTCAAAAGCGCCCCTGTTCCTTGCGCCTGTGCTCCCATTTTGCTCGCGGTTGTTCTTGCTCCTCTGACTGACTCCGTCTGGTGGTTGTCTGGCAGGACCCAAGAGAAAAGGCCAAGTCAGAGTCTCGCGACTGGCTGAACGGGATGGTGAGCATGCCGTGCTGTGCCCCTTGTGCCATGCCGTGCTGTACTCCTCATGTCATGCTGTGCTCGCTCGTTCTGTATCTGTGGCGCTCTTCCTGTCATCATCAGTGATGCTTCGTCGCCTACGTCGTCTCGCTCCACTTTCGCCACCTTCCATCTCTCCCGTCCTGCAGTCCCATCAACAGCATCTCCCTTCTGGTTCTCATCTCCCCTCTCTCATCTCCCCTCTCTCATCTCCCCTCTCTCATCTCCCCTCTCTTTATCTCCCCTCTCTCATCTCCCCTCTCTCATCTCCCCTCTCGTCTCCCCTCTCTCATCTCCCCTCTCTCATCTCCCCTCTCTTTATCTCCCCTCTCTCATCTCCCCTCTCTCATCTCCCCTCTCTCATCTCCCCTCTCTCATCTCCCCTCTCATCTCCCCTCTCATCTCCCCTCTCTCATCTCCCCTCTCTCATCTCCCCTCTCTCATCTCCCCTCTCTCATCTCCCCTCTCTCATCTCCCCTCTCCCATCCCATCTCCCCTCTCTCATCTCCCCTCTCTCACTCCCCTCTCTCGCTCCCTTCTCTCATCTCCCCTCTCTCACTCCCCTCTCTCGCTCCCCTCTCTCATCTCCCCTCTCTCATCACTCGCCCCTGTGGCATCTCTCATCTGTCATCTCGCATGTGTCATCTCTCATGTGTCATCTCTCACGTGTCATCTCTCACGTGTCATCTCCCACGTGTCATCTCTCACGTGTCATCTCTCCTGTGTCACTCCCCCAGGTGAGCGAGTTGGAGTCGCAGATCGATTCCTTTGAGAGCGAGATGGAGGGGCTGCAAGTCAAGAGGGGAAAGCAACGCCCTCCACGCCTGGTAAGCTACAGCCTCTATGCCTGTGAGAGGGGGGGTGGTATGAGGGGCCCGGTGAGAAGGGGGGCTGGTGCGAGGTGAGCGAGTTGCAGGGGCTCCAAGTCAAGAGGGGCAATAGCGCCCTCCACGCCTGGTTAGCACAGACTTCTAGCCGCCATGCACTGGGTTGTAGCCTAGTGATATTAGTCGGCATCTGCGCTCTTTTGTTGCACTCAAGCACCCTCTTTCGTCCCCCCCTCCCCCTTCTCCATTCTTTCTGCTTCGTTTCAGATGCATCTGGAGGAGTCCTTCACGCGGCACAAGGCGCACATCGCTCGCCTGGAGATGACTCGGAGTACTCAAACCCAACACTGCCCCCTCCTTTCTCCCCCCTCTCCTCCTCCCCTCCCCTCCCCCCCCCCTTTTTCCTTTTCCTCCCCCCTATCTTGCCTCCGCTTCAGATGCACCTGGAGGAGTCCATCACAGCACAAGGCGCGCATCATTCGCCTGGAAATAACTCTGCTCCTACGAAGTACTCAAACCCAACACACCCCCCCCCCTCCCCCTCCCCCCCCCCGGCCCCCCCCTCTCTGGCCTCCGCTTCGGGTGCATCTCGAGGAGTCGATCACGTGGCACAAGGGGCACATCATTCGCCTGGAGATGATCCTGTGCTCTTTGAATTGGCTAAAAAAACCCTCAACCCCACACCTGCCCCCCACCGTCTCCTTCCTTGCTCCCTCCTGCCTACGTCAGATGCATCTGGAGGAGTCGATCACGCGGCACAAGGCGCACATCATTCGCCTGGAGATGATTCTGCGCTCTTTATATTGGCTAAAAAAACCCTCAACCCCCACCTGCCCCCCACCGTCTCCTTCCTTGCTCCCTCCTCCCTACGTCAGATGCATCTGGAGGAGTCGATCACGCGGCACAAGGCGCACATCACTCGTTTGGAGATGATCCTGCGCCTGATGGACAACGACGAGCTGAGCCCCGAGCAAGTGACGGACGTGAAGGACCTGGTGGAGGACTACGTTGAGAGGAACCAGGTGAGGGACGGTGGGGGGTGGTGGGGAGAGGGCGGGGGGTGGGAGACAGTGGGTCAGAGGTCAAGGGACCAGAGTAAGGGAACTGAGATGATCCTGCTCATGATGGACAACGACGAGCTCAGCCGTGTGAGCCGGACGACCTATACGGTCCCTGCTCCCCCCCCCCCCTCCCCTTGCCAGGACGATTTCGACTAGTTCTGTGTGAGCCAGACGACCTGTACGAGTCCCTTCCTCTGGAGAAGATGGATGCGCCCGAGTCCTTGGAGTCAGTGCCCATTGTGCCGCATACCTCTTTTTTCTTCCTATTCTTTTCTGACGCATCAAATGCAACCCCCCGCCCCCCTCTTCCCCACTCCCCCCTGCCTCTCCTGGCAGGACGACTTTGAGGAGTTCTGTGAGCCAGACGACCTGTACGAGTCCCTTCCTCTTGAGAAGATGGATGCGCTGGAGTCCCTGGAGTCGGTGCCCATTGTGCCGCAGGCCATCGTGGTCAAGGAGAAGGCTGCAGTCGCTGCTGCCTCTGGCCTCGCGCTGCCCAAGTCCATCCTCACTGCCTCCTCCCTGCCGGTATGTACTTCTTTCCAGCACCCATTTTAACCATCGTCGTACCCATTGTCCTACTTGGAAAAATACCCTGCTGCTGCTGCTGCTGCTGCCTGGGGCCTCGCTCTCCCCAAGTCCATCCTCACTGCCTCCTCCCTGCCGGTGCGCAACCATCGCACATTTCTAACCATTGTTTAGGACTCCTCCTATCATGCTTCTTCGATTCTCTCACCCGCTTTTTGCTACCAGCCCAGTTTCTCCTGATTTCCTCCCCCTCCCCTCCTCCCGTCCTCCCCCCCCTCTCCTCCCCTCCCCTCTTCCGTTCCCACCCCGCCCTCGTTCCCCCCCCTCCCCCCCCCTCCCCAAATCACCCTTGTTCCCAACCACAGAAAGGGGGAGCAGCTGGGCCACTCGCCCACCCCTCACCCTCGTCCGTCTCCTCTGTCACATCCGACTCCGTTGCTGCTGATAGCTCCTCTCCCGGCTCATCCCTCCGTTCCCACTTCGGCCCCGTTCTCCCTCCCTCCCCCCTCCTCCCATCACCCTTGTTCCCAACCACAGAAGGGAGGAGCAGCTGGATCCCTCGCCCACCCCTCACCCTCATCAGTCTCCTCTGACACATCCGACTCCGTTGCTGCTGAAGACTCCTCTCGTGGCTCGTCCCTTCCCACTCCGCCCCCGTTCTCCCTTCCCCCAACTCCTTTCTCCCCCCTTTTTCTCCCAACCACAGAAAGGAGGAGCAGCGGGGGTCCCTCGCCCATCCCTCACCCCCATCCGTCTCCTCCGACACTTCTGACTCCGTTGCTGCTGATAACTCCTCTCCCGGCTCATCCCGGCCCCGCTCTCCTTCCCTCCCCCTCTCCCCATCGCCCATGTTTCCCATCCACAGAAAGGGGGAGCAGCTGGATCCCTCGCGCACCCCTCACCCTCATCCGTCTCCTCTGACACATCTGACTCCGTTGCTGCTGAAGACTCCTCTCATGGCTCGTCCCGCGCGGCTGCTGCTGCTGCTGCCGCTGCTGCCACAGCCGCCCCCCTCCCCGCCACCATCACCACTTCCTCTGCTGCTTCTTCCCGTGCTACAGCTGGCCGTGCTGCCGCTGCTACTGCTACAGCCAGAGCAGTGGCACCTGTAGCAGCACCTGCAGTAACATCACCAACAGCAGCAGCTCCAGCAGCAGCAGGAGTGGTAGCGGCAGCGCCAGTTGCTGCGAGCGCGGTTACAGTTACGAATGGGGGGCGAGTAGGGGCGAAGGAATCAGGTGGTGGGGGAGAGGAAGGTGCAGGAGGGGGGGGGGGCATGTGGTGGCAAGTGTGGGGGGTAAGAGGGTGGGTCCCGGCATAGGGGAAGTTGCAGGGGGGGTGGCAGGGCGGCATACCAGGTCTGTAGATCTTGGGTCTTCCAGTGGGGCGGCAGGATCAGCCGCTCCAGGCTCAGCGGCAGGTCAGGCAGGGGCAGTGGCAGCTGCTCTGGGAGGTTCGGCAGCTAGTGCAGGTTCGGCGGCAGGCTCGGGCTTGGCAGCTGCGAAATCAGGGAAGAAAGGGGCAAGTTTGGCTGCGATTGTTGGGGGTGCTGGAAGCCCGGGCGTTGCTGCTGGCGGTGCTGCTGCTGGTGGTGGTGGTGGTGGTGGTGGTGGTGCTGCTGCTGCTGCTGCTGCTGCTGCTGCTGCTGCTGCTGCTGCTGTCTCTTCTGCTGCAGCTGCTATTGGTGCAACCCCAGGTCCAAGATCTATCACTTCTCCTCCTCCCCCGTTCCCTGTTTCTGGCTCAGTCACACCTTCCGCTGCCGGGCCTGCAGGTTCGGCCGTGCCTAGCTACTCCCATGCTGCAGCTGGTGCGGTGCAGCAACAACCGGCAGGAGATGCAGGGGTAGCAGCAGCAGGGGCATCAGGGGCAGGGCTTTTGCCTGGGGTGGGATTGGCTGGTCAATCCGTCTCTGGGGGTGTGGCTGGTGCCAATGGTGCTGTGGCCAGTGCTATTGGTGCTACTGGAGTGGCTATGAGACCTCCCTTGCTCTCTGTCGGTTCCTCGCCAGTCCCCCCATCAGCCTTTGCTTCTGGCCCCACCCAATCCAGCGCAGTAATATCCACTGGCCTTGCCCCAGGCGGCCTCGTTCGTCCGTTTGCATCTGCAGCAGGTGGGGCTCCAGGTGCTTCGTCAGGTGTTGCTGACGCCGCCGCCGCTGCAGCCACAGCAACGGCAATGCCAGGCGGATCCCTCCTTTCCGCTGCGCTCCCCGGAGCAGCAGGCTCGGCAGCAGGCCTCGGAGTAGGTTCGGTGGGAGGCTTGGCAGCGCCAGGCTCGGCAGGAGGAGGGATGATGATGACAGGGGTGGGAGGCGTGGCTGTGGGAGGCATGGGTCAAGGGGGGGTGGGGGCTGGACTGGGTGCGGCAGCAGCAAATGTGCTGAGTGCGCAGCAGAGGATGTTCAATGCGGTGGGCGCGCAGTGGAGACCAGGGCTCCCCAGTTCGGCTGCCTTCCAGCAGCTGCAGGGAGGGGCTGCTGCTGCCGATGGCGGTGGAGGGCTCTCTGCTCTTCCTGCAGGGGTCCGCTTCCCACCTGGGGTAAGTGCCCTTTCGCTTCCTTTGGTCTGAGATTGTTCACTCAATGCTGAGGGCGCGCAGTGGATGCCGGGGCTCCCCAGTTCGGCTGCCTTTCAGCAGGGAGTCACATTACTCACTTCCTTGCTCCCCCGAAAGCCCTAGACCTTTCCTCTTCTCTTCCCCCCCTCCTCTTCCCCGCTTCCCCCTCATACCAGTTCCAGCGCACGGAGATAGCCCCGGACCAGAAGCAGAGGTACATCACGCGCTTTCAGCAGGTGCAGCAGCAGGGGGTCACTGCTGCTGTCATGGCTGCCGCAGCTGCCGCCGCAGCTGCAGGCGCAGGCTCGGGAGCAGGTTCGGGAGCGTCCCTTGCTGGTTCGGCGTCGGCTGGGAGCTTGTCTTCCTCGCCTCTATTGTCCATGCAGCAACATCCTGTGGTATGTCGCTCTTATGCCTCCTGGGGTGCGGTACAATGCGGTGTGTTCCATTTTGAAGGTGTGTGGTGTGGTGCTGTGTGGTGCCACTGCCTTTGCAACTCCCTGCCTTAACCTTACCCTTGCATTTAACCCGTATCCGCCCTGCCCTTGCCATTCCCGTGCTGTAATCCAGCTATCCCAGTCGCCTCTTCCCCCACAGCAGCAGCAGCAGCAACAACAACTGCAGCAACAGCAGCAGCAGCAGCAGCAGCAGCAGCAGCAGGCAACCCAATCACCAGCAGCAGGCGCAGCAGGGATGGGAGCAGATGGACAGACGCGGCAGGGTGGAGGACAGGAGAAGCCTGAGGATCAGACACAGCAGGACAAGGCACAGGGGCAGGTGCAACTGAGGCAGGTGAATGCTGGGGTAAATGGGCCTCAGCAGCAGCAGCAACAGCAACAGCAACAGCAACAGCAACAGCAACAGCAACAGCAACAGCAACAGCAACAGCAACAGCAGCAGCAGCAGCAGCAACAGCAGCAGCAGCAAATTCAGCAGCAGCAGCAAGAGAAGAAGCTTGCAGAGGCACAGCAGCAGCAGCAGCAGCAAATGGAGCAGGAAAAGCAGCAGCAGTTGCTACAACAACTGCAGCAACAGCAGGCGGCAGCCGGGGTAGGTGTATCTGCGGAAGGTGGCATGGATCCCCAACAGCAGCAGCAGCTGCTGCTGCTACTCCAGCAGCAGGAGCATCAGCGCTTGCAGCAGCAACAACAACAGCAGCAGCAGCGGTTATTGCCCTCTCCGCCCCCTCTACTCTCTCAGCAGCAGCAGCAGCAGCAGCAGCAGATGGGCCATATGGCAGGGCCAGGGGCAGTAGGCCCCTCCATGCCCTCACTACAAGCACCATCCACCGCTCCCTCCTCCTTCCCCCTACCATCCTCCACCACCCCTCCCACCACCACCGCCACAGGTTCCCTCTCTTCAGCTACAGCTGCTGCTACAGCCGCTGGCGCTGCTCCGTTTGCTGGTCCGGCTCTCGCTGCACCAGGAGTCATCGGCAGGAAGCACGGGGGTGTGGGAATGGGTGAGGTAGGGTCAGTTAGTGACCCCATGTCCCTTGCCTCTGCTACCACCACTGCTGCTGGCGCTGCTGCTGGTACTGCTGGGTCGGCTGGTGTAGGAACAGGTGGAGCAGGGGGAGCAGTGGGAGCAGGTGGGGTGGGGCAAGGGGCAGGGGCAGCAGCAGGGGCGCCGGTGGACCATGCACTGAATCTGGCCCTATTGGAGTCGTCGTTTGGGAGCTTACCCCAGCCTAAGGACTCGGACCGACCCAGGGCTTATATTCCGGTGAGTTATGGTATATTAGTGAGAAGAGACTGCTTACATTCCGGTGAGACATACAGCGTGAGTGAGGGCATATTCAGGGGCGAGATGAGAGAAAGACATAGTGGAGGGGGGGTGGGGCGTATACAGCAACCAGTTGCAGCAGGCGCTCTGCTGGATCATGCATTAAATCTGGCCCTTCTGGAGTCGTGGTTTGGGATCAGCCTAAGGGCTCAGACCGACCCAGGGGTTGTATTCCGTTGAGAGGGCATGTCTGGCTGAGAAGGTGCGTGCATGCTATGCTATGACATCTCAGCCTTGAATCCTGAATCATGCATGCTAACATATCCCCCTTCCCCATTGGTCTTCCGCTCCTCCCCTTCAGAGGAACCCCGCCATCACGCCAGCCAGCTACCCCCAGGCGCCTGCAGCAGTGCTGGAACACGTTGAGTCTCAATGCAGTCCTCACCCGTCCTGATGATGATGTGTTGCTTTCCCCACCCGTCCTCCCTCTCATCCCCTCCCTACCCCCCCCTTCAGAGAAACCCTGCCGTCACGCCTGCCAGCTACCCCCAGGCCCCTGCAGCAGTGCTGGAGCATGTGCTAACTCGTTCATATTCCCCCTCCCCTGCTCATTCCCTTCAGAGGAACCCCGCCATCACGCCTGCCAGCTACCCCCAGGCGCCTGCAGCAGTGCTGGAACACCCAGGGCTGTGGGAGCGGCTGGACATGGACGTGCTCTTCTTCGCCTTCTACCACCAGCAGGTGTGTTATGGTGCGGTTACCAGGTACAGTGGTTACTGTTACCGTCAGGTACTGGCTATCGAGCATGTGCTAGCTAAGACCACCACCCAGCGCGGTGGGAGCGGCTGGACATGGACGTGCTCTTCTTCACCTTGTACCACCAACAGGTGTGTACCAGTCGTGGCGCTACCACAAGAAGTACAACACGTGGTTCCCTCCTTCTTCCCCTGCCCCCCTCCCTTTCCTTCCATCCTCCTCCCTCTGCCTAAATCCGAAACTTATCAGGGCACGTACCAGCAGTACTTTTCTGCCAGGGAGCTGAAGAAGCAGTCGTGGCGCTACCACAAGAAGTACAACTCGTGCTTCCAGTGCCACGAGGAGGGCAGGCACAAGAGGGGTAAAACACTCTAAGTAATTCTCTCCTCCCTCCCTGTTCTTTCTCCCCCATTCACCAGGGCACGTACCAGCAGTACCTGGCTGCTCGTGAATTGAAGAAGCAGTCCTGGCGCTACCACAAGAAGTACAACACGTGATTCCAGCGCCACGAGGAGGGGAGGCAGAAGAAGGTCGACCTTCCCCAGTCATTCTCACTCTCTCCTACCGTTCTTTCTCCCTCATTCAACAGGGCACGTACCAGCAGTACCTAGCTGCCAGGGAGCTGAAGAAGCAGTCGTGGCGCTACCACAAGAAGTACAACACGTGGTTCCAGCGCCATGAGGAGCCCAAGCTCACCACCGACGACTACGAGCAGGGCACCTATGTGTACTTCGACTTCCACATCGTGCACGATGACTACCAGACCGGATGGTGAGTGCAACGTAATGTGGTTACCACACTGGGGGTTGCAAGGGAGCCTGGGAGCCTAGGCTGACCACCGATGACTACGAGCAGAGCAGGGCACCTATGTGTACTTAGACTTCCACATCGCGCTCAATGACTACCAGACCGGATGGTGAGTGCAACGTACCGTGGTTACCATATTGGGGGTTGCACGGGAGCGTGGGAGCCCAAGCCCACCACCGATGACTACGAGCAGGGCACCTATGTGTACTTTGACTTCCACATCGATGACTACAGACTGGCTGGTGAGAGGGATGTGAGGGCATTGTGGGAGCATGGGGTTGCTGAGCAGGGTGTTGCGGTGCCCGAAGAAGGTAGGATGACCACGAGCATGGGACCTGTGTGTACTGGTTGTGGAGTCTAATGTGTCCCATCCCAATCCCTGTGTGCTCCTTGCCAGGTGTCAGCGGATCAAGACGGAGTTCACGTTTGAGTACAGCTATCTGGAGGACGAACTGCCGGCTGCTTAGGCCGAAGACAAATTGAGAAAAGACTTTGGAATGATGGGCTAGCTGCATCGGGCAGGCCTGGTTGCCCCGTTATACCTGTTTTATTCTGGAGTGGACGTTTCTTATCGTGTGTCTGCTCCTGGCCTAGAGCTAGCATACTATTTATTAGATGTGGGTATGTAAGCCCCGTCAATAATTGGTTATTCCTGGCGCTTAGGACGCTTATGAGAGCTCACAACATGAAGCCATGGAATTTGAGATGATGCAGCCATGCTGCAAGGCATTAGTACTTGCACCCTTCATGCGTGGGGACAAAAAAATTGTGTGATATTGTCGGTTTGGTAGCCCATTTATTTTTGCCCTAAGCTTCCTTATATATACCCCAATGGTTACTGTAATTGGAACGATCTACTTGGGCGGGAGGGATGAACTTTCGGCTTGCTTGGTAGCAGGCCTCTCGTCATTACCTCTTGGACACTCCCTATTGGGCAGCTGGCTCCACGAAATACGGGCACGGCTGGAGACTAGAGAGGGTGAAATCATACTCGTTGCTTGCAACCTGACCAGGTCCATTGAGGTTGGGGAGCGGCCCATGTTTTGCAATCATCATTTCGAGACATTTGGGGGGTTCTGGGAAAGCTCATCACTTCAGAACAGATTTTCGGCCCGAATAAAATCAAAACCCTTGGCAGTCACATTTCGGTTATTCTGTTTCAAACGCACTGAACTGTACACTACGGCACAACATTTTTTCATATGATTACTTTCCTCGAGTATAGAGTAAACTTTTCGGAGCCGCAATTTCTGCAGTACCACCGAAACATGTGGATGCTGTTGCAACTGTCACGCTTTCGAGGTGGGCTGCAGCGTCCCCCGGTCCTCGGAAGGTTTGCCAGTTTTTCCGCCTTCATGAATCTCGACCCTTAGCAACAGCCGTCGATGTCATTGCATCCGTCGATTACAGCTCCACTTCCGAATCAGTTGACATGCTGAATGGATGTGCGCTTGGGGGAAGTGAGAAAGGTGGGGAGCGGTTGGGGGTGGATGTGGGGGGTGACACTGATCTCTCCAACTTTCCCGCGTTCGGGAGGTGTGTCTCCCCCAGAATGTGGGGGTCACTCCGCCTGCGCGCGTGGGGCACTCGCCTCCCGCCTCTTGCCTTTCTCCAGCAGAGCGGCTGCTTGGTTTGTCCCATTCACCGCGAAGTGCCGCACTGGCTGCCTCGTGGTTGGAGGGTCAGTGGTGCGCTGGCACCAACCTCGAACCTCGATGTTCGTCCTCACCAAGAACGTACAGTATGCGATCTTTAGCGACAAGCACCGAGTTGCATCGAAGTACATGAGAGCTGGTTACTTTTGTAAAGCAAAAAAAAAAAAAAAAAAAAAAAAAAAATCTTTCCCCCGAATGGTGGAACGGGAGGGGCATGACCTAGAACTGCGGCGATTTTGCAGCACGCGGCGGTGGATTTGCGGAAGGGCATTCCTCCCTTCTGCATAACGGCGGGTTTTGCGGCGGAAAGTTGTGACAAAGGCGGTGTGGCGGGCAATGCCTGGCGGAGAAAACACTGGCCCCGCCCAGCAGGCTTTCCCCCAAAACCCGAATGAACCAGCTCCTGAGAAATGAGGGGTGTGCTGTGCCTGGGTGTGTCTTCCGCCAGACCAGCTTGATTGAGGAAAGAAGCAGGCAGTGTGTCTTCCGCGCAGCAGTGTGCCCTCCCCCCAACAGTGTCTTCCGCCCAGCAGTGTGTCTTCCGCCTGTCTTCCGCCTGTCCTTCACCAGCCAATCTTCCCCCAGCATCCCTCCCCCAAGCAGCTTAGGGAGAGGCTTCCTGCCAGATTCCAGAAGTTGGTCGGTTTCTCCCAAGGACAGACAGAGCAGCCAATAGCATTCACAGCTTGGATGTTCAAGTACAGTGTAGGAGCAGCAGTGGCAAGAAGTGAGGTCATCAATCCAATTAGTGTGTTGCTCCTAGTAGAGCTGTCTTTATTCATTCCTATCTGTTAGCGTCTGTTCGATTTCTAGAGTAGGGTTTTGGAGGTAACAGGTTCATAACTGTCCGTGTTCCCTGGCTTATCGACCTTGTCGTATGCAAGCCTCGGAGTCTTCAGTCTTGCGAAAGTGATGGCTCAGACTTAGTGAAGGGTACTGCTCAGTTCCCTGTTTCAGAAGTCTCTCTAACCTGTCATTAGCTGTCGATTTATCCGCCATGGCTGATGCCATACTCGCAAGAAGCATTTCAGCTCCGCATCTGTCCCCAATCTCCGCGGGGTTTTCCAACGGAAGAGAAGCAGATAAGCTTCGGGATTCGGCTAGCCCTTCTTTCCAATGCTCCATGGCTTCCCCTCGCGGAGGCCTGTCTAGTCACCAAGGCTGTCGATTATCCTGGAAGAGTAACACCGCCTCGTCACCTCTGACACCCCTTGCTCCCTGGTTTTCCGAATTTTCGGCGACCCCTTCTATTCATTCTTCACGGAGCTTGTTCGTCGTTTCCGAGATGGATTCGTCGCAGAGAGAAGACTGCGAGTTCCGCCGTATCGTGTCAGTTCCTGAGTTTCGAACTCCGGACAACCACGTACAACAGAGCGGAAGTTCGGCACATTCTTCGGACAACCACGATACGAGAAGGAAGGGACAGAATCGGTCTTTCTCCTCCCAAGAAGACAGCAACCCGGGTTCATTCTCCCCTAAGCATCCACCCGAGCCGTTTTCCGCGTCCTTCTTCATGCATCGTTCGTCTCCTCCTCCACCGCCTGAACTATCCTCTTTTCCACGCAAAACTACACCCTCATCATCACCTCCTTTTCCGACGCCGTCGCTGTTTCCCGTGGTGCCATTAGACGGGATGTCTAGCACTAGAAGCCAGTGGACAGATTCCGGCAGAAATAAGAACGACTACGCCAGTCTGGAATTCTTCACCAACGGCGCTGACGAGATGCAGATGCGAGGGCTGTTCGCGGGATCTCACCCAGAGATTTACCAGCATTTACCGGAAGATCAAGGGTCCCGACCGTCGGTTGATCGCGGCCTCCCTGATGTTGCTCGGAACGAGCAGCCTTCTTCACCTACTTCATTCAGCGTCGCCGGCGAGACTTTCCCTTATGTCAGCGAAGAGGCGCCGAAATTCGGAAGCGAAGGGAAGAGCAGAAATGGTTCTGCGCCGGACACACCTGTTGCTGCTGCGGACGTTGCGGCGATGGAGGCTCATTATCTCACCGCTCTGACCAAGGACCCGAAAGATCCGCTTCTGCTTCGCAACTTCGCCCGTTTTCTTTACGAGGTCAGTCGCTCTTGACTTATTATCCCTTGCTTTCGTTTTCTTGTTAGTTTCTTGGTTCAGTTCGTAACCTTTCCCGCGTTCTCACACTTCATCGTTGGTTTTAATTTGTTCAGGTGAAGGGCAAGTATGAAGAGGCTGAGAAATACTTCGAGCGCGCGATTACCGAATCTCCTTATGACGGGGAGCTTCTGGTTCAGTACGCGAAGCTGCTGTGGGAAGGCATGGGCGATGCGAATAAGGCCTCCGTCTTCTTTGAGCGAGCAGTAAACGCTGCTCCTCAGGATTGGTAAGCACCTGCTGACTATCTTCCATGTGGGTACAGCATTGGACACGGCCTGACAGGATTTGGAATCTGCTTTAGATTTGTGAGTCGACAATTTGTGGTTTCATTCGCTTGGGCTCACTCTCCCTCCTTCGTTTGTTTTCCCCTCGTTTTGTTCTGCTGTTGCAGCTATGTTCTGGCCGCTTATGCATCCTTTCTCTGGAATTTCGACTCTCTGGCTGATGAGAACACTAGCGTCATGGCTCCTGCTCCTCCGTTCCTTCCAGCCACATCTGCTGGTTGCGGATAATTTGCACTGATGAAGCTGAATTCCATCCACATCCGTCATAGATTTCTACACCATGAGTGTTTTAGCATGGGCGCCGTTCCTCCCAGCCCAAATCCGGGATCATCACCTTCTGGGAATAGCCTGACTTGCTTACCTGCAAGCTTATCCCAATGTTTTGAGCTTGAGTGGTAGCAACAGCATGACATCCGTAACCAAGGGGTAGATGTGTGAGATGGCATGTCCCGGTACACCAACCAGTTGCTGCATGGTTGACTTCAGGCTCAGGCTTGGCATGCTGCCGACCAAGCCTCTCTCATTATTATATATGGGTACCATCCACTTGAGCTAGTGGTGTGATTTGTACTGATTTATGGCCGGCTGACCACATGAAGTGCTCATGTAAGAGTTCTTGTTCGTTGTGTGGGTGTGGGGCCCTCACTTTCAAGGTAGTACATCTTTGTTGTTACCTAATGGAAATGATGCCTTAATCCCCCAGATATAATTGTCCAAATGAAAGAATCTCTAGAACAAAGCATACAAGGGAATGTAACCTAATAGGTTAAACTTTTTAAGGCACAACCTTATATAGTCTACAGAAACATACAATATATGTTTGACACACCCCCTAGACTGGATAGGGGCAGTGCCCGATGAGAGAGAAACAGCTCAGGGTGGCACTATCAAATTGGAATTGTTAATGATGGTAAAGTGAGAGTACACACAAATATACCTAAGTGTAGTACCCTCTAAGAGGTAACCCTATACAGTCTATACAAACATGACAAATACAGATGTTTGACACACCCCCTAGACTGCATAGGGGAATACCCTAAACAAGCAGCTCAGGGCGGCACTACTAGTCCAACCTCTGAGACAAGGGTCTGAGAGACCACACAGAAGGAGTACAGACAAGGCAAGAACAAGACCAGGGCGGCACTATTAGTCCAGCCACTGGGAGAGGACACAAGTCCAGTCTGAGTATGCATATAAAGGACAGTACAAGTCAAGGTCCTAGCAAGTGAGAAGCGACAGGAACTAGACCAAGCTGTACACAGTGCCGCTGATGATCTTTAGGCGCAAGCGCCTTCGTAAAGATATCAGCTGTGTTGGCACCTGAGGCCAAGTGTACTACGCGAGCCTGACGTCGCTGCTGTAGCTCACGCAGGAGGAAGTACCGCAGCTGAATGTGCTTCGCTCTGCCCTCGAGTCGAGGCTCCTGACACAGGAGGATCATGGCCCTGTTGTCAGCGAACAGGACCGGGGCAGAGCTAGGCCGCTCACCTAAGTCAGTGAGCAAGAAGGTCAGCCAGCGGAGCTCCTGTGCCGCCATGGCACCAGCGTAGATCTCAGCCTCACAGCTGGATTGTGCAACAGACGAGGAGCGAGTAGCTCTCCACGAGACGGCACCTGAGCCAAGGCTGAAGCAGTAGCCCTGGGTAGACCTGAGTGTCTCAGCGTCGTCTGCCCACGAAGCGTCTGTGTGTCCAGTAAGGACCACTGGCCTGCGTCCTCCAAGCACTAACCCCATGCCCGATGTACTAGCAAGATAACGCAGAACCCTCTTAGCGGCAGACCAGAGCTGCGGTCGGTGACTGCCTGTGGCCACAAAGCGAGCCAGGATGCTGAGAGGGTATGCGAGATCTGGGCGAGTGCAAGTCATCAGGTACATGAGGCAACCCACCAGCTCTGCGTAGGGGCCGCTGGGCTCTACCAACTCCTCAGGTACTGGAGCGGAGAGTCTGTGGTCTACAGGCAGAGGGGTGGGCTGTGCAGAGGAGAACTGAAGGCTGAACCTCTGAAGGACCTGGCGCACCAAGTGTGACTAAGTCAGGGTGATGGTGCGCGCAGCTCTGTCCCTGGAGATCTGCAAGCCAAGGTAACGGCGCAGTTCTCCAAGGTCAGTGCAGGTGTGTCTCTTCAGCAGCTCTGCCTTCACGGAGGCCAGTGCGTCCCTGTCTGCCGTGGCAAAGACCAGGTCGTCGACGTAAACAAGGATGTAGAACGGAGTCTGGCCAGCACGAACGAAGAGTGAAGGGTCTGCGGAAGACGGAAAGAACTGCAGGTCAGCAAGGGTAGCACGGAGAGTCTCGTGCCACTCACGATGAGACCTACGGGGCGCTACGGGGCGCTACGGGGCCTGGGAGGATCGCGACGGGGCCCAGGAGGGGCGCTAGGGGGCATGTGCGGAAGCGGTAGGTGGGGGGGATCCTACCTACGCGTGATACCATATCAAATTGGAATTGTTAATGATGGTAAAGTGAGAGTACACACAAATATACCTAAGTGTAGTACCCTCTAAGAGGTAACCCTATACAGTCTATACAAACATGACAAATACAGATGTTTGACACGCACTACTAGTCCAGCCTCTGAGGCAGGGGTCTAAAGACCAGTCAAACAAGTACAGGCAAGGCAAGAGCAAGACTAGGGTGGCACTACTAGTCCAACCACTGGGAAGAGGCCACAAGGCCAGTCACGGTAATATATATAAAGGTCTTAGAACTGAAGAATTAATGCATAGAGAGAGAATACAAGGGTATATACCTAAGTGTGTTGTACCCTCTAAGAGGCGACCCTATACAGTCTATACAAATATGAGTTATGCTTATGTTTGACAAACCCCCTAGACTGCATAGGGGAATGACCTGAACAAGCAGCTCAGGGCGGCACTACTAGTCCAACCTCTGAGACAAGGGTCTAAAAGACCAGTCAGACGGAGTTGAGACAAGGCAAGAACAAGACCAGGGCGGCACTACTAGTCCAGCCACTGGGAGAGGACACAAGTCCAGTCTGAGTATGCATATAAAGGACAGTACAAAGTCAAGGCCCTAGCAAGTGAGAGGCTACAGGAACTAGACCAAGCTGTACGCAGTGCCGCTGATGATCTTTAGGCGCAAGCGCCTTCGTAAACATATCAGCTGTGTTGGCACCTGAGGCCAAGTGTACTACGCAAGCCTAGCGTCGCTGCTATAGCTCGCGCAGGAGGAAGTATCGCAACTGAATATGCTTCGCTCTGCCCTCGAGTCGAGGCTCCTGACACAGGAGGATCATGGCCCTGTTGTCAGCGAACAGGACCGGGGCAGAGCTAGGCCGCTCACCTAAGTCAGTGAGTAAGAAGGTCAGCCAGCGGAGCTCCTGTGCCGCCATGGCACCAGCGTAGATCTCAGCCTCACAGCTGGACTGGGCAACAGACGAGGAGCGGGTAGCTCTCCACGAGACGGCACCTGAGCCAAGGCTGAAGATGTAGCCCTGGGTAGACCTGAGTGTCTCAGCGTCGTCTGCCCAAGAATCGTCTGTGTGTCCAGTAAGGACCACTGGCCTGCGTCCTCCTAGCACTAACCCCATGCCCGATGTACTAGCAAGATAACGCAAAACCCTCTTAGCGGCAGACCAGTGCTGCGGTCGGTGTCTGCCTGTGGCCACAAAGCGAGCCAGGATGCTGAGAGGGTATGCGAGATCTGGGCGAGTGCAAGTCATCAGGTACATGAGGCAACCCACCAGTTCTGCGTAGGGGCTGCTGGGCTCTACCAACTCCTCAGACACTGGAGCGGAGAGTCTGTGGTCTACAGGCAGAGGGGTGGGCTGTGCAGAGGAGAACTGAAGGCTGAACCTCTGAAGGACCTGGCGCACCAAGTGTGACTGAGTCAGGGTGATGGTGCGCGCAGCTCTGTCCCTGGAGATCTGCAAGCCAAGGTAACGGCGCAGTTCTCCAAGGTCAGTGCACGTGTGTCTCTTCAGCAGCTCTGCCTTCACGGAGGCCAGTGCGTCCCTGTCTGCTGTGGCGAAGACCAGGTCATCAACGTAAACAAGGATGTAGAACAGAGTCTGGTCAGCACGAACGAAGAGTGACGGGTCTGCGGAAGACGGAAAGAACTGCAGGTCAGCAAGCGTAGCACGGAGAGTGTCGTGCCACTCACGGGGAGCCTGGCGCAGGCCGTAGACGGGGCGCCGTAGGAGCCACTGGGTCCCAGGAGGGAAGGCGCCAGTAAAGCCCTGAGGGCGACGCAAGTAGACCTGCTCGTGTAGGCTGCCCTGAAGGAAGGCAATGGAGAAGTCGAGGGAGTGAAGCTCGTAGTCGCGCTGAGCAGCTAAGTGTAGCAGAACCCGAAGAGTAGTCATCTTCGGGGTCGGAGCGAAGGTCTGGAAGAAGTCCACCCCCTCACGCTGACTGAAGCCTCTAGCCACGTAGCGCTCCTTGAAGACAGGCGGCTCTCCAGGAGGGCGCTTCACCTTGAAGAGCCAGTGGCCATCGACTACGTTCACCCCAGGTAGGGGAACTGCGTCGACGTAGGTGCCAGTGGATCTCTAAGATGCCATCTCTTGCTCCATGGAAGCTATCCACTGAGAGGCCCAAGGTCCCGAGGTCGCCTCAGCGTAAGTGCGAGGGGTCGGGATGTTGAAAGCGTCTGGGTCACCCTCAGGGACTAGCAGCATGGAACAGAGATGGGGAGCAGCCTCGGACAGGAAAGCAAGCTCGAACTGGCGGTCCTCCAGGACGTCACTGCCAAGGGCAGGAGCACCCACGACAGACGGAGGACAGGCAGGGTCAGAGACCAGAGCTGTGGCGTAGTCAAGGCGGCGGGTAGAGGCGAAGTCAGCGACCGCAGCTACAAGAGCGTCAAGGCAGGAGACCGGAACAGACGGGTCGGTAACGAGGGAGGCAAGGACCCGGGGAACAAGAGGACGAGCGGCACGAAGGTAGTCAGACAGCGGGGGGGGTGCAACAACAAGGGAGGATGGAGGAGGCGACGACAGAAGGGGAGGACGAGATGCGTGGGAACGAAGCAACATAGGGTGGGAGCGCAAGACAGGCGAGGCAGGACGAGCACGGGAGGGACGGTGAGACCAGACGTGCGACGGAGGAGTCGGGTCAGGAGACAGGGGAGGGGAGACAGGAGGGGAACGAGGGGGAAGACGGGCCGGGGACGAGTCCGGCGGAGGGAACACAGGGCCGTAGACGGGAAGAGGAGGAGACAGTCGGAGAGGAACAGCCGCAAGGTCAGGGGACGGAAGGCCGAGCAGGCGAAGGGCGGACACCGGCGGGGACTGCTGCTGCGGCGGCACGACGACGACACTTGGACCACAAGCAACTCCTCGGCTACCACCGACACACTCCACACCAGCACCCCCAGAGGGACCACCCCCAGGGTCAGCGAACGGGTGCTGGGACGGCGGCGGCGGCAGCGACAACGACGGCTGCAGCGGCTGCAGAGGCGGTGGAGGAGGGGACTGGGGAGGGGACGCCGGGGGAGGGGCGGCCGGCGAGGATTGCGCAGCAGGGCCACCAGAGTCAGAAGACTCCTCAACCGGGTCTACCGACGGAAGGGGGGTGACGTGGGACACACCAGAGGGGGCAGGACAGGGAGGAGGAGGAGGAGGGGCAGGGACTACCGGGGAAGGAGTGACCAAGAACAGGGGGGGGGGTAACCGGGGGACCGCGGTGGGGGAAGCGACGGTAGTAGGAGACGGACTCGTCAAA